CCATTCCATCTTTAACACCGCCACACCTGTCGCTGTACAGGTGGCAGACCACCCAGACACCCTCCCCGGCGTTGGTGACCTGCGCAACAAAGTCGTCGCGGCGGATCTCCTCCAGGCTGCCGAAGCGCGGCCGAGAGACGCTGGCCTGCAGCTCCTGGATCCTGCGCTGCCGGTACTGCTCCAGGAAGCGGTCATCGCTGAACTCGTCCTCCGCCTCCTCCAGCCCCTCCGCGTCCTCCCCGTCCAGGCGCTCGGTGCCACGGGTCGGCTCTGCTTCGGGGGTGTAGGCCTGGGGCTTCCAGACCGGGTCCTACGCATCATGCACAGAGTGGGCCAGGGAGGTGATGGGGGTAAGCAGCATGCAGGCCATCGTCCCTCAACAAGGTCCCCGGATTCCAGATGGGCGCTACATGTTCCATCTTGCACTAAACCCCATGTACACCACGGTCGTCGGAGCCGCCCACACCTTTTCTGGGCGATTGCCCAGCTTCCTCTGGATGTCATCCCACTGTGTGGTCTCCCCCTCCGGCCCTTTGTATATCGTGTGATACTCCGTCATCGCGATCTAAAAGGCCTGCGACTCGTGGGTATTGCTTCAGAGGATCTACTATGACTGCAGCGAGCCACTTGAGCTCAGCTCTCCGGTCGCCTCGCAGGCTCCAGCACTCGTGACAGAGACGAATGCAAGGTCTGGACGGGTGCCGCGATGCCGTCGAATGTATCACTTGGAACTGATTTCAGGAATCATGCATGACCTGGTCCTCGTGAACGAATCAGCAGTACTAGGCTTGCAGGACAATGGCGCGTGCGCCCTGAAGTTTTCAAAACTGATCACGGACATCGATCTCGTGCGAGGGGCCCTCTCGGCTTCAAATGACAAGACTTACTAAGCTGTTGGGCATGTTTCCTCACTTGACATCATACACTCTGCTTCCTTCCGCTTGTCAATTTGATGACTGGCCCGAGCTGGCTGCCTCCCGCTCTGTTCCGGCAGGCCGGGTCGCTTGAATAGTCAGGGACGCTCACACGTAGCTCACACCCAGACAAGGTTAAATAGGGCTTTCCCTTTGGACACTGTGGAAGTATAGTCCACCTAGATGTCTAGCTCCAAAAAGCCTGTCGCCATGGGCAGTGGACAGAGGTCCATTGCCTCATTCTTTGGGGCAGGCAAGCGCTCGAGCCCTCGCTTGAAGCCCTCCCCCAGCAGGCAGAAGGGCAGGGCCAGCCCAGCCAGAGCCTTGGACCTCGAGGCCGGGTCTGAGCCACCAACAGCCGCAGCGACCGCGGTGACCACTGGGTGCCTGCAGCCGACTCCCAAGGCCTCGCCTCCTGCGGGCGACGCATCTTCGCAGGGCGCCGCGCCTGCGCCGGGCGCCCGGGCCGCCAAGCGCAACGCCCCCCCAGTCTGCGAGGGCCAGCGTCTGCGCGTCTTCTGGCCGGCGGAGAAGGCCTGGTTCGAGGGCCGGGTGGGCGAGGTGCAGGAGCGCAAGGGCAAGCGGCGCGCCTACGTTGCCTACGACGACGGAGATGAGGAGTGGGTGGACCTGGAGCGCGACCGCTTCGAGGTGCTGGAGCCGGGCAGGAAGCGCGCCCGCGCCAAGGCCGCCCAGGTACTGGACTCTGACTCCGAGGCCGAGCCCTCTGCCTCCCAGGGCTCCGAATTCCTGGCCAGCGAGGAGGAGGGGGAGGAGAGCGACGATGACAGCGTGAGCATGGCCGCCAGCGAGGCAGAAGAGGAGGAGAGCGAGGCGGAGAGCGACGTCAAACCCGCACGAAAGCCGGCGGGCGGCAAGACTGCCAGCGCGGCGGCAAAGGCCTCCCCTGGAGCCGGTGCTGCTGCAGGGAGGAAGCGGGTGTCCTCGGCCACCACGCAGGCGACCCCCTGCCCCGCATCGCAGTCCAGGGGGGGCCTGCCCCCGGCGACCCCAGCCTCCGGTCTGAGACCAGCTGCAAGGAACCTGGCGGAAGCCCTTGAAACCCCAAGCTTTGCCACGCCGGCCACCTCTGGGCCGGCCGCGACGGTGAGGGGTGCTGGGCAGTGGGGGTTGCTGAGTGGAAAAGGGGACTTCTGAATGCCTCCCTGGGGATGCTCGGCCACGCGACCATGGCTCAGAGGAGTACCCTCTTACATCTTGTGAGCCGCCTCAGGGGATGGGCATCGTTCTCACCCAGCTCTGCCTCTCCTCCAGGGCTGCGGCCTCTTACCCGCACTCCCACCCCATCACGACATCCGTTGCCACCACCACTCACGCAGCCCGGGAGCGCGCTGGGCGGCGCGCTGTCCGCCGGTCCCAGCGAGCGCTTTGGCGTGCGCGCGACGTCCCGCTTCCCCTTCCTGCGGCCCGACCGGGTGCGGGACGCGGAGGGGCGCCGCCCCGGCGACCCCGGCTACGACCCCACCACCCTCTTCCTGCCCCCCACATGGCTGCACGACGCCAAGATTTCCGAGGGCCAGCGTCAGTGGTGGGCCTTCAAGGCGGCCAACTTCGACGCGGTCCTGCTCTTCAAGATGGGCAAGTTCTACGAGCTGTTCGAGATGGACGCCCACGTGGGCGTGGAGCTGCTGGGCCTGACCTACATGAGGGGGGAGCAGCCGCACGCCGGCTTCCCCGAGGCCGCCTACGCGGGTATGGCGGCCACGCTGGCGCGCGCCGGGGTCAAGGTGGTGGTCATCGAGCAGACCGAGACCCCGGAGGCACTGGCCGCGCGCAACGAGAAGCGGCGCCAGAGCGGCCAGAAGAAGGTGCATGGGGTCTTGTTTTGGTGCATGTGCGGGAGAGGGGGAGACGGTGGAGGGACCCCCGAGGGGCAGCATGCAGATGGAGGAGTGGAGAAGGACGAGGGATTGGAAGCGATGGTCTTTCGCGGGGACGGCCGAATGCTGCATGGGGCCTTCTCTGGGGCACCACACCCATGCGCATGCTCCCAGACCCACTCCAGCCGTCGATGACCTCCACGGCCGCCACATCAAACCCTCCGCCCCACCCCCACACATGCACACCCACCACCGCGCCCCTCGCTCCAGGTGAACGTCGTGCGCCGCGAGAAGGTGGCGGTGCTGACGCCCGGCACGCTGACGGACGCGGAGATGGTGTCCTCCACCCCGGACCCCACCTGGCTCCTGGTCCTGGTGGAGCTGGAAAGCACGGCGACCGCGGGCGTCGCTCACGACGGCCCCCCCGGGCGCGTGCCGGCCTCGCTGCCCGGCGCGTCGCCGGGCCCCGGGGCGGCGTGCGACCCCCTGGCCTCCCCGGCGCAGCTCAGCCTGGGCGCCGTGGCGGTGGACGTGGCCTCCGCGCGGCTGCGCGCCGGCCAGTGGGCCGAGGACGAGCTGCGCGGCGGCCTGCGCGCGCTGCTGTGCACGCTGCGCCCCGCGGAGGTGGTCATCGCCGGCGCGCTCAGCGCGCCCAGCGCGCGCGTCGTGCGCGGCATGCTGCCCGGCGTGCGCTGCGTGGAGCGGGGCCCCTGCGCGGGGCGCGGGGATGCGGAGGAAGCCCTGCACAGGCTGGCCGCGGCGCGGCCGCGCGAGCGCTGGGGCGCGCCGGTCCTGGCGGCGGCCGCCGACCCGGCCGCTCACGCGCCGCTGCTGGGCGCGCTGGGCGCCGCGCTGCGCTACCTGCGCGAGGCGCTGGTGGAGGACCAGGTGCTGGCGCTGGCTGAGGTCGAGGCGCTGGACGTCGTCGTCGGCAGCGGGTCGGGGGAGACCGGTCCTGGTGTGGACTCAGCATCGAATGGCGACGCATGCATGCAAGGCCCCCGCCCGGCGCACACCAGCCACCTTGCCATGGATGCGGCGGCGCTGGAGAACCTGGAGGTGCTGGAGGGCGGCGAGGGCGGCGCCGGCACTCACGCCGGCGCCGGCCTGGCCGGCTCGCTGCTGGCGGCCGTGGACCACTGCGTGACGCCCGGCGGGCGCGGCGCGATGCGCGCCTGGCTCGCGCGCCCGCTGTTCGACCCCGGCGCCATCCGCGCGCGTCAAGACGCGGTGGCCGAGCTGCTGGGCGCCGCGGCCGACGCCGGCGCCGCCGCGCGACGCCAGCTGGCGGGCCTGGGCGACGTCCAGCGTGCGGTGGTGCGCCTGGCGGCCGCGGGGTTGGGCCTGGGGCCCGCGCGCGACGCGCCGCGTGTCGTGCTCTACGAGGACACCGCGCGGCGGCGGGTGCGGGGCGTGGCGGCCACGCTGCGCGGCCTGCGCCGCATCCAGGATGCCGTGGCGCAGTTCCAGGGTGAGTGTGGGGGAGTAGATTTCGTGGGGTTTTGCTGGAAGGAAGGTGGAGGGGAAGGCCCGCCGTCGCGTCAAAGCTGCCGGCTGGAGTCCCCAGCGTAGTCCCAATCCCTCAACAACACTGCCGCCCTCTCCTGCTCTCAGGCGTCGACGTCGCCAGCCCCCTCCTGGCCGACCTGACCCAGCCTGGCAGGCGATTCCCGCACCTGGACGGGCCGCTGAAGGAGATGTGGGACGCCACGGACTGGGAGGCCGCGGAGGCCACCGGCCACATCCTGCCCGCCGA